GCAAGGCATGGGACTAGTCGACTTTACTATCCTACTGTGTCCTGGGATCTCTGGCAAAGCACTGGCTTTCAAAATAGAATTAGTGCTAAGACTGATTACCTAGTCCAAGACCCTCCTTTTTACAGATAAGACAACTGCAAACCAAAGAAGGTATGTGACATATGCAAGGTCACACAGTAAGTAGACTCTCCACCTCCAGAATCTCTTCTCAACTACTTTTGACTTACAAGAAATAAAAAAAGTATCCTCCTTGATAATGGGATAAAGGAAGCAGCAGTGTCTCTCTGGTTTCTCTAGGGATGAAAAATGTACCTCTGCTTTCAGAGATAGAGGGAAATCTCAGATGGGGAAACTCCCTCTACAAATGCAGTTATTCTGCAACTTAAGGTCTTAGAGAGTTGCCCAGAGACACAACATTTCTAGAACATTTTGTTCTCAGGACCCCTTTATACTCTAAAAAATTATTGAGGACCCCCAAAGAGCTTCATATTTATCATATGAGAAATTAAAGCATCTTAGTAATATAACAAAAATACTTTTGACCTTGCAGACCCCCTGAAGGGGCCTCAGGGATCCCCAGGGGTTCCCGGACCACTCTTTGAGAACTAGTGGCCTGGAGTCCTGAAAGCTTAAATGTCTTGTCTGATGAGGTCACACAAGTGGGAGATTTGAACCCAGATCCTCCGATGCCAAATCACCAAATTCAGTGCTCCTTCCAATTCACTGTAAGGACAAAACTTAAGCTGGGGATGTCCTCTCAGGTCCAGTGACTTATTTTGGAAGATTTTGTTGCTTTATTTTCCTTTATTCTGAGGAGGAAAACTACTGGATTCCCCAAATGCTAAACTGCAAAAATTAGACCCAATAGTCAATTGATTTCTCCTCTTGTCCTGTTTTATTCATTCTCTCTCTCTCTCTCTCTCTCTCCTTCCTGTGATTCTGTGATCCTATTGTTTCTTCTCCCCTCTTCAAATGCAAATAGGAGGTGATCAAAAGTAGCTCAAGGATCCTTCACCTCTTGTTTTCCAAATCAGTCAACCTACCATCTTTGCTACAGCATCCCTCACACTTATTTGTACCCCTGGCCACACACAGAAAGGCTAGCACAGGTATGGTGGCTGGGACAGGAAGGAAAGAAGCTTGCTTCTGTGGGAACTGAGTAAACTACACTGACCGCATCTTGTGACTCAATTCTGGAACTAGCTCAGTTCCTTTTTTATTCAATTATGGGCCTAGTCCAACTTGTCATGCGAGAAGACTTGTATTCAAGTATGGAAATTGTCAGAAAACTTTATTGCATTGTTTGAACCTAGTCCTGCTTGGCTGGGAGGCTGGACCACCTCTACCTGTTGTTCAGAGACGCTTAACTAAGGACCTAGGTCAGGGGCGGGGAACTTTCTAGGGGTGGCCTTCTAGGTCCTTCCAGGTCTAGCCTTTTGACTCAATCCAAACTTCACAGAAAAGATCCTTTTATTAAGGGGATTTGTTCTGTGAAGTTTGGATTGAGTCAAAGGGCTACATTGGCCTCAAGGGAGCAGGTTCCCTACCCCTGACCCAGGGTATACTTACTAGAGACCTGATCAGATCTGAAGATTGGGACGCAACGATTTTTCTCACAATTATACATCTCACGCAATCCGTATGTTTTACCTGAAAACTAGCCCTGTACTGGTCAATCAGTTATTGTTTACATGTTCCTTTGATTGAATTCAGACACTTAGGGGGAGTGGGACACTCCTTTTCTGATTTCAGGGAATTGTACCTTTTAGCGCTCTCTCTCTCTCCCAATCTGGAAAGTCCCTAATCTTTCTTCCAATTAGAAATCAGATTACCTAATTTTGTATTCTGACTTGTATCCTGCTATTGTTTTCTTTTAATTAATTGGTCTTATTTGATTAATTGTTTTTAATACATAAAAATCTGTCTTACTCTGTAGTCAGAGTCTTTGGACTGACTGGGGAGTCCATTGACCCATTTATTATGCTTGTTTTGCTAATGAATTTATAGCTCGGATTATTTCCTCAGTTATTATTAATTTCCCAGCACACTTCAGGGATTCTGAGGACCACCAGAATGACTCTAGTCTCTATCTACCCACTCTTTTCCCTCTGACTTTTGCCCTTCTTGGCTCCCGGTTTTCAGATGCTTGAATTCTTCGAGCTATCTTTTAATGGGATCCAGAACTATTTTGTTCCTCCTAGAGGTAGCTTAGCTTGGTGAATAGAGAAACAGCCTTTGAGCCAGGAAGATCTGGGTTCAAGTCCTGCCTGCGTGACCTGAGTAAGATGATTAACCTCTTAGTGCTCTGGGTCATAGTGTCAAACTTAAATAGAAACAGGGACCACTAATCCACACATAAGGATCCCTGTAGGCTACATATTGACTTAGGTTTTGTTTTTTTCAAATGATATTAGATTAAATGATATTAATCATCTATTTTATTGTATTTTTGTTTATTTTGCTAAATATTTCCCAATTAATTTTAATCTGATTCAAACTACCCCTGGGAATGTTGTGGGACACATGTAACCTGTGGGTTGCATTTGACACTGTGTTTTAGGCAACACTCAGGGAAGACTAAATAGCTGAGAAGTTGCATGTGCGGGGGGAGTTTCCTCATCTGGGCTTTCCCTACGCCAATGAAATGATGTGTCCAGTTTAGTCTTCAGCTCTAGAGAAATATGGGAGACACAGCTTGTTTATCCATTATAACAAGAAAAATAATTTACTTTTTTATTTCTTCAAAGTGAAAAGATTCCCAGGAATGGAGAAGAGTTGTTAGAAGATGAACAGTAACTTGGTAAGAGTGCAGAAAACCTACATCTACACTCAAACAATGTAGGCTCAAATTCTGGCTCTGTTGTAACTCCCTGTGTGACCTGGGGTAAGTCATTTAACTTCTCTAGGCCTCAGTTTCCCCATTTGTAAAATGAAAGGGTTGGACTAGATGACCTCTGAGGTCACTTCCTGTAGGAAGTCTAGGATCCTTTTAGAAATCCAGGCTCCTCCTTGGGTATACAACTAATTCTGCTTTCTCTGTTCCTTGCAGATGAAGCATCTCCCCTAAAGATGGAGGCCACAGGACTCTGAAACCTCAGATAAGAGATATCAGATTTAGTTCAACAGTGAACGATGATTGATGTTATTGAATGTCCAGGTTTACTCTTCTACTTTTTTTGTTTGTTTGTTTGTTTGTTTGTGCTAGGCAATGGGGTTAAGTGACTTGCCCAGGGTCACGCAGCTAATAAGAGTCATGTGTCTGAGGCTGGATTTGAACTCAGGTCCTCCTCACTCCAGGGCTGGTGCTCTATCCACTGCGCCACCTAGCTGCCCTGACTCCTCTACTTTTCAAGAATAAACTAAATGTGGTGGCATGGGGCTTTCAGAATGGGATGGGCTGTGTTTAAGAAGATGGTGATCTTTTCTTTTTTTTGGCTAGGCAATGGGGTTAAGTGACTTGCCCAAGGTCACACAGCTAGTAAGTGTTTATGTGTCTGAGGCCGGATTTGAACTCAGGTCCTCCTGAATCCAGGGCCAGTGCTCTATCCACTGTGCCACCTAGCTGCCCCTGATCTTTTCTTTTGTAAGTTACTTACCCCAGGGTCCAGCCACCCTTAAGACAGCTAAAGGATTGGAACGCCCCAGGACAGAAGCAACAGCCTTGACCCAGGTTGGGGGTGTCCGGCTTTCACTGGGGTCAGTAGGTCGAAGGGGGAAACCCCATGGGTCCACCAGGATGAGGTGTTTGACTCTACATTAAGACAGGGAAAAGGTGAAGATTAATAGTGCAGAGGTATGACAATCCTTCAGTCTTCTCAGAAGGAGGAGGAACTGATGCACTGTGATAAAGCCGATGACTGAGACGCTGATGTTGACTCTATGGTCCAGACAAACTAGACAACTTGCTACTCCTCAACATTGCATCCCATTTCTGGTCTCTGCCTTTGTGCAGGCTGAGCCTTATTCCATGAACCTACTCCCTTAACCTCTTCCTCTCAATTCCTTGATTCCTCCAGAACTCAGCTCAAATCCCTCCTTATACACAAGGCTTTGCCTCATCCCTGCCCCCCCACACAAAATAAATAAAACAGCTTTATGTTTACTTTGGATACATGTTATATCTACTTATATGTCTCCCCCTATAGAATGTAAGCTCCTTTTTTGTCTTTGTACCCCCAACATCTGGCACATAATAGGCACTGAATAAATGCTTATTGATTTGTGGATTGAGTTTTCTGTTGAGGCAAAAGAAGGAGGCTCATCCCTTACCTTTCAGGATACTTGATAGAGTAAGATGTGGCGAGGAAGCCTCCTAAGCTGTGCCCCAGGAGAATCATGTTGGGGATACCCATGGTCTCCCGCCAGGTCTCTATAGAGGTCACAAATTCATCCTCAGCACCCTGGGCATCACGGGGAAATATTGGCCTTGAGCTTCTTCCAAAGCCCAGCAGGTCGAAGGTGTGCACTGTACGTCGAGTACTCAGTGAATCCATGTTTAAGATCCAGAGGCCCACGCCACCCCCAAAGCCATGCACCATCACCAAGGGCGTGCGGTCCTCCAACTCTGGGCTCACTGTAACGGTCCAGATCTTGTTATGATTTGGGAGGGACACATAGCGGGCCAAGAACTTATTCTGGAGACCTAAGGAGAGTGGGAGTCCATGGAAAATGAATAGTCTTTCTACCGATGATGTTACAGTATTGGCTAGACTTTCATCATAGACTCTTAATCACCTTCAATACCAAACTTTTGACACTAGTGATTTCCTGGTATTCTTTTCTATGCTTTCCTGTGTCCCTACACAGAAAAATTCAACAACTTCTTGTACCCAATATACTGAAATATTTCCCCCTGACCAAACCCTATTTCTTAGTTTGCCCTAGTAACCAGAAAGTATAAAAAAGGAGGCTCTTTATTTCAATTCCTTCTTTTTTTTTTAATTTGTGGGCAATTGGGGTTAAGTGACTTGCCCAGGGTCAAGGCCGGTGCTCTATCCACTGCACCACCCAGCTGCCCCCTTATTTCAATTCCTTCTCAGAACTGACCGCTAGGTGTCCTTTGGGCTGGCACTTTGGCCAGTGCTAATCTGCATGGCTGGCTTAGAATGTAGTCTGAGACAGCCTTGGGTAGCTTCTCCACTAGCTGTGAGGTACAATTCTTGACTTCTGTGCCCATGTTTGCTTGGGTCCTAGTGGGTGAGATTCCTGGCTCTCCTAACAGCTATGGGGGTTTTTGCTTAATAAATTCTGGAACACAGCCTAGCAAATGAAGGAATAGATTTTTATCATGTGTTTATTCTGAAGAATGCATGTCTGGAAAGAGGATTTGGTGTTACTACCTCTTAAATGTTAAGGAGAGGATGGGAGTTGGGATGGTGAGATTGGTGAGAGGGAACAACCTGACCTTTAGGTTGAAGCCAGGGGGTTATAACATTACACTGTGAAAGGTCAGGGGCTGCCTTTTGCCTCCTTTTATATCCCCAAAACTTAGCACATGGTAGGTACTTAATAAATGCTTATTGGTTGACTGACAGTTATATGGCCTGTTTAGGGTAATAAGGGACATGGTTAGTTATACCAAGGGACTTGGTAGTTATACCAAGGACAGTCTAGGGAGATGACATCTGGCAAATAAGGAATTGTGATTCAGAGGCATAGGAAAGAGCCAAAATAGCAGAAGCTGTATCATGTGACTATGTGTAGCTAATGGGGTTAACTCTCTCCACGTGACACTGGCCACGAGAGCAAGACCCTGGCAGGCCAAAACAGCTGTGGTAGCCAGATAAGTGTGGGTGCACGATAGGGTAGAATATCAAAAAAGTGAGGTGATGAATAGTCATGTGTGTGACAGTGAATGTGTTGGAGGAGTCAAGTTGGGATGTTATGTCTGGAAGAGGAACTCTGGCCCTGATATTAAAAAAAAAAATCATCAAAGATGTTTATGATCAAAGAAGGAAGTGGGCCAGTAATGTAGTAGAAGTGGGCCAGTAATGTAGTGAGAGAGAGGGATGGACTGGTAACCACAGAACATTAAAGGAACCAGAAGAAAGCCTCCAGTGTATTGGGTAGATACTTGATGACAACAATTTTATGGAAAGACAAAAAGGCTGGTCATGAGTCTGTATATTTATTGAAGGGTTAAAGTAAAAGAGAGGAGTGAAAGTTTTTTTTTTTTAGCTTTTTTTTTTTGGAGAGGAGTGAAAGTTGAAGAACCATTATCCTAAGGATCCATCCCTTCCTCAGCTACCTTCCCCATCCTCACCGGGCTTACCCAGTGAATCTAGACTTCAGGCCTACCACACATCCTTCTTGGGGAAAGCCCTGAGACAGGGCAAGCTCATGTCGCTTACTTACATTGTAGGATCCTAGCTTCCACATTCTTCAGCTGAGACATCGAAGTGGGACACCAAGTAGGTAGCCAGCTACTCAGCCAGCCTTTAGGCCTGGGATTGGGGAGAGACATAGATGCATGGTGACATTAGAAGGGGAACACAGATTCACTCAGCCTTGCCAACAGCCACACAACATTTATCAGGCAACAAAGTCGTCTCCCTGCCTGCCCTCCCCACTCATTGGTGCCAAATCCTCACAGCCAGCACTCTTTTCTATGTAGCTGTTAAAACTGTTTTTTTCCTTGGGTTAGTGGCTATTTACAACAACACACGCTACTAATATTACCTATTTACATGCAGAGAATGTCACTCACCTATATTCAAAGAGATCAAGAACTGACCAGACACTTTTTTTTTCGTGATCCTTGAGGATGACCTTCACTAAGCAGGCTAAATTACCATGAGGTCTGCCAGCTTTTCCAGAGTAGCAGGCCTGGCTTTCTCTCTCCCTTTCTGCTCCTAAAAATATGACCCCCAGAGGTTACCAGCAGATGTCCAATTTCCTTCTGGGGGTAGTTCAACCCTGAACAAAGCAGTGGGGAATGGAGAGAAGCACAGGGTAGGATTTGGGACAAATGGGTCCAGTTTTTGGCTCTGGCTCACTGGGCATAGGGGCAAGTCACTACTCTCTGTGCCTTAGTTTCCAAATTACAAAACTGAGGAGGATAAGTCTCTACTTCTCATGGGTGCAATGGAGATAAGTGAAATAATCAACCTTATTTCCCCTTAACGTACAGGAAAGCAATTCCTTCTCCCTCCTGTGTTTTCTTATACTTTCTCCAACTCTGGCCTAGAGGGTAGAATTCCAGGTAGATAGAAGAAACTTCCCTTTTCTTGACATAAGCCACTAGCAGGGATTCCCCCCTGTAGAAGGGCTATCCTAATCAGTATCTGCCAAGATGGCAACATCTTGCACAGAATCCTAGAACCAGGAAAGATTACAAAAGGTCATTTGGTTTAGCCTCTATCTTTTAAGGCATTATAGTGGGCAACATATAGACTTAGCATAGTAGCATGAAGATAATCTTCTGCTGCTTGTTGTGACATGGAGATGACCCTGTGTTGTCTGTGGTTTGACAAACAGCCTAGCAAAATACAGAAAGATTCATCACTAGAAGCCATCAGATGAAGACGTTTCTTTCTTTACAACTCATTAACTAAGGCATTATGGAGTGGTTGCAATCTGTAACAGCTGAGCAGGCACCTAACTGATAAAAATCATAGTTCTTATAAAGCTATCAAGTGTGGGAGAAAAAGCATGGACCAACAGCCCCGACCCCTGGATTCTGGACCTACTGCTTCTCCTCATTTGTTGTGTAATGTCGGAGATACCATTTCAACTCTACAGGCCTAATTTTTCTTACTTAGGAACAACAGTATTGGAATAGATAATCTCAAAGGCCCCTTCCAACATTTTATGATTCTAGGAGAAGGAAGAATATTTGAACTGAGAGAAGACATGATGGGTAGGTAGAAGGAAGGACATCATAATGGCTGTGTGACTTTACACAAAACACTCAATCACTCAGTGCTCTGGGAAACTCTCCAAGACTATAGGTTGCAGAGGAGGTGCCTACTTGCATTTAGAGAGAGAGGGTGTCTTTACCAGAGACAGCCAAAGTTCCCTTTATCAGCAAAATCATAGCTCTATTCCCTATCCCCTATTCTCTGCTTTCCAGGGAGTACAACTAGATCCAACAGAAGGCTGTTGCAAAGAGGCAGATCTTGGTTCAATATGTGGAAGACACCTTGAATAATCTGATTTCTCCAAAAGTGGAATAAGCTGTCTTGAAAGCTATCATTTGGGGTCCTCAAGTGGAAGTTAGACAACCAGTTGTCAAGGATGTTATAGAAGAGATCACTGTTCAGATACAAGTTAGATTTGAGATCTCTGAAGTCACTATCCACTTCTGAAATTTAAGCACCTTGAGAGATAATACCCCAAAGAGAGCTGTCCTTTACTTTGGCATAGCTGCCATGTGGTGTGTCTGGTGGTTACGAGATGCTGCAGCGTTCTCTTGATCCTCACAACAACCTTGTGAACGCCATAATGCAAATATTATCATCTCCATTTTACAGATGAAGAAAAGCTTGGAGAGGTGCGATAATCTGCATTAAGTCACATTGCAGTGAAGCCAGGACTGAATGGGTTGAGAACTTCTGACCCTACCAGCTCTACGCTTTGTTGGCTATCTGAGACTGGCCTGGGACTAGAACACAGGCTGTCTTTTAATTCCTCCTTTAACATCTCTTCTGTACAACCTCAATCTGTTAACCAAAGAGCAAATGTCTCTGAAACACTTTGTGCCTGTGCCATCTGTGGCTGTTCCTCTATGAAACTGAGTTCATGATCTGGTCCCAACAGCCTTGTCCCCTAGCACTGTGACCCTCTATGCAGCCAGCCCATGCCCAGCAAAATTAGACTACTAGCTGGTATTTTGCATGTGCCGAGTTTCCTCTATTCCTTATGGAGTTTTCTCCAACCTTCCCTCTCCTATGTCCTTCACTCATCCTTCATAGATGATCTTAGAATCACAGATCTACTCTGACCCTCTCTTCTTACTGATGAAGAAACAAAGGGTCAGGATTACATGGGTAATACGCATGGGAAGCAGGATTTGAAGCTAGGACCACACTGCTTCCACTTAGCTCCTATGTCCTTGGAGAAGCCGCCTATGTAAACAGCCCTGTCCATAGTGATCTTTTTCTCCCATGGCACTCACCATCTGTACCAGTTACTGGCTACAATGTATTTTTTTATGTATGCCATGTTTCCTAGGCTGCCATTTCTGTCTTTTTTTTGCTACTTAAGACTGGCCTGTGATTAGAATACAGGTTGTCTTTTAATTGCACCCTGGAAATTCTTGTAGCTTATACTCTCTGATCCCTAAATTCAGCATTCAATAAATACTATTTAAATTTAAAACTGTTTAAAAAGTCAACAAATAATTATTGATCAAAATTTCCCTGAAAAGGGGAGCATTTTATTAAGCTGTCACTATGTGCCACGAACTATATGCTAAGCATTTTACAAATATTATCTCATTTGATCCTTACAACAGCCCAGAAAGTAAGTGCTATTATCCCCATTTCATAGCTGAGGAACCTGAGACAGACAAGAAGTTAAGTCACTTGCCCAGGATCACACAGCTAGTTTAAGTGTCCAGGCCAGATTTGAACTCTGGTCTTCCTGACTCCAGGCCCAGTGCTCTATCCTCTATGCCACTTAGTTGCTTCTACTTCTAACAATCGGATCACCCCCCCCCCCAAAAAAAAACAAAATGGATGACCTCATGAGGTAACGCTAAGGACAAGGATTTCCCTGTCATTATAAGTGTTCAAGACTAACAGTTAGTGATTTTATAAAGAAGATTCCTGAACGGGATGGGAGGTTAGATATGCTGTGTAATGCTCTTAAGTACACTGGTTAACCTATTTGGGTTTTTATTTCTTCACCTGTAAAATTAGGGGGTTAGACAAGATAATTTTATAAACACTGTTGTACTAGTTGTCATTTGTATGAGGCTTTACAGAGCACAGACTGTCTCATTTGAGACGTCCTCACAACAACCCTGTGCAGTAAAGAGTGCAATTATCACCCCGTTTTACAGGTGTGGAAAATGAGGCTCTGGTAAGTTGAGTGACTTGTTCAGCTAATAAGTGGCAGAGTGGGACTTGCTCAAACTCAGGGCTTCTGACTTCAGCCCTGGGGTACTAGGAGTCTACAGAGGCTTAGAAAGCTATGCTCTTTGAGATTTTTTAGAGCTAAAGGAAGGCAATTCTTTTCCTCTCTCTTTTTTAAAGGCCACTTTGCTTTAGGACATGCCAGTTCAGAAGTTCTGAAAAAGAGGCAACAATACACGTGCATTGGAAAGAGGGTAGACACTATACACAAGTAACGTAGGCATAGCTAGCTGCTGAGTCATTCTTCAAAAAGCAATTGCTACTGTCTTAGGGGAGAAGGCTCAGGCAACGACAAAGGGATCCCAAACCTGATTGCAGATGAAGTGAAACCACTAGAACTCTAAACCCAAGATGCTATATTGTGAGGATAATTATTACCCGTTTATATGAAGTAGCCAGGATTTGGCTTGGGAAAGAATCAAATGCATCCTCATACCCTGCTTCTGTCTCCTTCCAGTACAGAAAAATACTCCATTCCTTCCAAAGCACTTTCTAACCTATTCAAGTGAAAGATGTTCTTTCTCCCCAACACCCTTTAGGGCATGTTGGAGATCATTCCTGGGGCGAGTGTAAAATTAGCTTTTCAGCTCTTCCACCCAACTCCAGCCCAACCAGTATCCCGCATCCACCCATCTTCCAGAAAACTAAAGCAAACCCCTCAGCAGCAGGGATCTTAGCAACAACAGGATGGGAAGCAGGAAGAGAAAGAAATACAGGCTAAGGTCAGAAACATAACTTTCAGCAAAGCCTCTCTGTCCTTACTACCCCTGCATTCCTTCCTTCTCTTAGCTAGGGCAAGAACCTTCATCCCTCCCCCTGGAGCAAAACTGAAAACGTAGGGTATGTCTAAAACCAGGCCTCTGCATTAGAGTCCTAAATTTATGACCACAGAGAGAAAGGGAAAGAGAGACAGACAGGGAAATTAACTCACTGCTGCTCCAGATCGTCAGCCATAGTAAATAAGCCTGGCTGGGTAGAAAGTAAGCCAGCCTGTCCCTCCTCCTGACGGCAGCACCAGCTGACCTCGGAAAGCATTGGCTAACAAACTGGGGCGTGGCCAGAGGTGCTTAGGAGAAAGATGGGGTAAGCAGAAAGGTGGGTGGGGCAAAGGGGATTATGAATGGAGCGGGTGGGGTTCAGGTAGGAGTAGGGAAGTGGATAAGTGGGGAGCTGAGTTTACAGGCATACCTAAAGTTTCTGAAGGGGGTTCCAGACTCCTGGGGCAAATGTCTTGAAAAGATCGGCCCCCTCAAAGAACCCCCAGGCCAAGACTCTTGGAATGACTTTGGGAGGGAGAGGTGAATGGCTAAAGTGACAAGCTATAGAAGTCCAGAGTTTTCCCCATCCTACTCTATCGTACTAGCCTAGTGAAGGAGAGCCTTCTCCTACTTATGCCCTTCAAGCTAATCATGTGTAGCTTCCTTGATCTTGATGTTCAATTTAGTTCAACTGAATGACACCAAAGCATTAGGGCAGTAGCCTACGAAGCAGAAAAATGAGGGCTCTGGCCCTGTGGGATTTTACAATCTGAAAGGGGTGGAGGAGTAGCTCATTAATACAAATACAAGGCAAAATGTGATAAAGGCAAAGAGGATTCAATCAAAATGTTTAAAAAAATAACCTGAAAAGGGGAAAGTGATCACTTTCTGCTGGGGAGTTCCAGAAAGGCTTGTCTCCTTAAATGGACAGTAAGCTTTCAAAAGGTTAGAGGTGCAGAGGGGCTATGTTCCAAGTAAGCAGTCCAGAGAGTACAGGATGTTGTTGTTTTTCACTAATTTTCAGTCTTGTCCAACTCTTTGTAACTCCATTTGGAGTTTTTTTGGCAAAGATATTGGAGAAGTTTGCCATTTTCTTCTCCAGTCCATTTTTTTTTTTAACAGATGAGGAAATTGAGGCCAACAGGATGAAATGACCTAGGGTCACCCAGCTATTAAGTGTCTGAGGCCAGATTGGAACTCAAAAAGATGTCTTCCTAGCCCCAGGCCCAGCACTCCATCCACTGTGCCACCTAACTACTGAGGTTACAAGTCTGGGATTATGATAGTGCTGGTGCTATTATCAGAAATATGAAAGCCGGGAGAGGCAGGTTTGGGAGAGAACAAGGGTTGCTTTAGATGACTTGGAAGGTCTGGCTAGGCATTCAAGGAGAGATATTTAGCAGGTAGTTGGACATGAGGACTACAGCACAAGGAAGAAAAAGGGATTTGGGAGTTATTTGCATAGAGGTGATAAATGAAGCTCTGGGTATGAGGTTGCCAAAGGAAAGAAAATAGCAAAAAGAGGATGGAGAATAGAGCTTTGGGTGATACTTAGGCAGCAAGAGATGGAATGTGAATCAAAGGAGACCAAGGAAGAGCAGTGAGACAAGTACAGTCAAAAGAGAACTGTGTCATGGAAGTTGAGGGAGGAGAGACTAGGAAGAAGGAAGGGTCTGATCAACAGGGGGATCACATCCTATAGAAGAGACCAGGGAGAATGACTAACTAAAAGTCACTGGTACTGGAAATTAAGACACTCGTTTGGAGAGAGCACTTTTAGTAGTGGTGAGGTTGTCAGGTTGCAGGGAGTTATAAGGGATTTACACTTAGGAGAAAGGGAACTTGTAGACAGTAGGTGTCTCGGAGACTTTTGAGTATGTGGTCTAGAGCTGGAAGAGACGTTGAAGAGCATCCTCTTATCTCCTATCTGGGAACTAGCCAAAGCCCTTGGGAGACATAGATCTTTCTGAGGCAGGGGCCAGAGGGTTTGGAATAGATTAGGGAGGGAGAACTTTATGTCTGTGCTCGATCAGCTCTCCAGCAGGTTAACTACAGGTAGAGAATTTTTAGTCTATTATATAACACTAAGTGAGAGGAGCAGTATTTTTCTGATGCAACTTATTTTTGCCTACCCCCAACTTGGGGAGGCTTTACTAAAAAGAGGCCAAAACTGCCCCTAGGGTCTAATTGGCCTCAGTCTTTTAGATTGTAGCTTCCAGGAGCATAAAAAGTCTAGGGCCTCTCAGACTTGGTGGGTGCCTAAAACCACACAAGTTGCCATACTTTGATGACTTAGTTACCAGATGCATTTCCAGACCGAGAGAAGGGTGGGAGGAAGGGGCAGAGGGATGCATTCAGAAAAGTTAAATGCCACAGTATCCTTGTTGCATAATCTTGGTGTGCTCGAGAAAAGTAGCTACTTTGTGAAATGTTCAATGACTTTCATTTTGTCTCATCATAAAAGTGGTGGCTTTAAAGCTCTGCCTCCAACACACCATGTACAAAAACAAATACTGCCCTCACTCCAAAAAAAACAAGCTGACTAGAACCCTAAGGCCCAGCATTTCTAGCGCTTGGGATAACCTGGAACTGTAATGGACTTTCTGAAATCACTCCAAAGTGGAAAGGAATCCTAGTGTCTGTCAGCTGGGTGTCTCAGAGAGTGAAAAAGCAAGTGTTCTTTCTCTTCGCCGGATACACTGTTGTTGGGTTGTTTTTTTTTTTTTTTTAAGTCGTATCTGACACTTTGTGACCCCATCTGGAGTCTTCTTGGCAAAGATATTGGAGTGGTTTGCCATTCCCTTCTCCAGCTCATTTTACAGATGCCATGATCATAAAACCTTTCAAAGCCCACTTATTTTGCCACATCAACTCAAAATTAACTTGCCTTTTAATTAAAGGGACAAATCAGTTTTGTAGCTGCTGGAGAGACAGTGGCACAGGGTAGTGGAAAAGCACTGCACCAGAAGGCCCAAGTTCAAGTCCTATAAATTGTTATTTTTTAGGATTGGTTTACTGCCAAGCTCACCAAAATCAGGGGCTCTTGTTTTACAGGTAACTTAATTATTCAGTGAAATATGGAAAAGCCTTGGCATAAATTATCCTAAAATACCAGGCAGGCTATTAGTGTCCATTTAAATTGTCATTTGTATGAATAGCTTAAGAAGTTGTTGACTGAAATAAGAAATGCTGCTGCAGTTACAGCCATAGTGCTGGGCAGCAGGCCCTCTTCTTGCTGTACCTCTTAAACAGTTCAATAAAAAACTCAGTAATTCAGTGTACTGGTAGGACTGCAAGACCCTGGAAGTCAGGCTTTCAGCAAGTCAATCTGATTTGTTTTTCATGTTTTCTATTGTATCCCTCCTATGGAAAAGCAAATAATAATGGGTGAAAGAAATGAAAGGCAGATCAAACAAGAGGGAGGCACGTCAGCAGGGTTCTGGATGAATAGTACTAGTAGCAGTATCACTACTTTGAATAATTTGCCTCTACGTCAGAAAAATGTTTTCTTGGAATAGGCATACAGCTTAATTTTGCTGCTAAAACTATCCTTTTACTCCCTAATGAGGCAGGGAAGGGGAGGAGGGTTCAAATTACCAAGGAAATTGACTGTACCATACATACCATGCCAGTGGAAGAGATTTTCAAATTCTCTTAACAGCTCATAAATACAAGTCTCCGAATAGTCCTATATTTCCACATTTTATTGGAAGCTAGCTGAGTAAGTGACTAAAGGAAAGTCAAAGGTATAGTAGAAGCCACATCATCAACAAAAAATGTTCAACATGCTAGAAATGCAAAGGATATGTTGTTATACATGGTCCTTGCCCTAAAGTGACTCAATCAGAGAGATAAGGGTATTTATTAACCTACCCATAAGACCATTTGGGCAAGTGACTTTCAACTTCAACCTAGAGCCCTGCCACAGAGCTGAAACTCATAATCACATATATAGTGATGTAGGGGCAGCTAGATGGCTCAGGGGATACAGCACCGGGCTTAGAATTGGGAAGACCTGAGTTCAAATCCAGCCCCAGACACATACATATAGATAACATGGTCCAGGGGGTCATGAAGAGTTGGATACAACTGAACAACAATATAGTAAGGTTTGGATGGTTTCTATTAGGCGATAAGATAGCAGATAGTTTACCCTGTCAATTTAAGCCCCACCCCTCTACCCTTGCCTGGCACTAAAGAGTTTGTGGATTGACTGAAATCAGTTAGAGCATTTATGGGCTGTAGATGAAAGGTGAGTGGGACTGAGGTTGTTGGGCTCCAAACCCTCTTAAGGTTGTCATCATTCCACATCTGATCAGAGAAGCCAACTGGTGCTGCTTAGAGTTTCATGGTATGGCTTTCAAAGTTTTGATGCTGTTAACCTTCGAACTTGTCTGGTTATGAAATATCATAAAATTAATAGGTCAGGGATGACAGAAATGGAGGATGTGAGAAGATTAGGAAAAGCTAGATCCTGGCAATAAAAAAATTCAACTTGGATTATAGAATTCAGAGCTGGAAGGGACCTTAGGGATCATTTAATCCAATCCCTTTATTTTATTAATAAGGAAACTGAAGTCTAGAGAGGTTAAATGACTTACCCAAGGTCATGTGTGTGTGTGGAAAGCAGCAGAACCATGACTGGAACCCATCCCCTTGGACCACAAATACAGGGTATCCCAAAGGTATTAGTTTAGTTTTAAGCTTTAATGACTTCAGAAGTATAAATGCTACAAACTAACACTTAAAAATTATTTACAATTTAAAATACTGATATGTTTCTTATTAAAATTCAACATAGCCACCATCTTGTGCTATAAATACTTCATTTGCAATTTCAGCCACAGCCTCTTCACTTGCTCGGGGTCTCCCAGATCTAGGCTTGTCATGAATTGAGCCAGTTTCCTTGAATTTTTTCATCCAGTTGTTAATTAAATTTCTGTGGGGAGCCTCTTTCTTATAATGGGAAGCAAATTTTCTTCTTACAGCTGTTGCTGACTTGAGTTCAGCTAACCAGAGAACGCAGTTGACTTTTTCTTCAATGTTTGCCATTTTCAATCAGAGGGACTAAAACAAAAAATTAAAATTAAAAATGTACTCAAATTCACAAAACTAAGTGCAAAAGAAATTTAAATTTAGAGGATGCAGTGCACTGACTGATTAGAAACCAGTGTTCAAACCTGTCTCTGTGACTTTGTGTAACTACAGGCTTTATTAAAGTTAACCTCTCTGAACCTCAGTTTCCTCTTCTTTAAAATGGTACAATAATTTTAGTAGCTAGACTCAGCTAAGTGGCACCAGACCAGGAGTCAGAACACCTGAGTGCAAATCCACATTAGCTTACCAGCAGCATGGCCGTGGGCAAACCACTTATCCCCTATCTTCTTCATCGGTAAAATTTCCTCATTTGTAAAATGAGGAATAATAAGAGCACCTATTTCCCAGGGTTGTTGTGAGGATAAAATGAGGTATTAGTAAAATGATTAACAAACCTTAAGGAGCTATATAAATGCTATCTTGTCATTATTATGGGTAATATCAATTTCCATATTAATATGAATAGCAGTAATATCTATTATCAATGGCGCCAACAATGTTCATATTGATATGACTAACTGCAGTAACATCCATTATTATATGAGTAATATACATACTAATAATAACCCAACATTATCCATATTAATGATAAATAATAACATTGCCATATTATTTTTATCACCTCACAGGGTTATGAGCAGTAAAAATATGTAAATAATTTAGCAAACTTTCAAGCAATTGTCAACCTCTATGACCCTGTAAACATCCAATTGTGAAAACGAATATAAATTCACACATTCACTGAACATTACGGCTGGCAGGGGTCCTTAGGAAGCATCTAGGTAGTCCTTACTCCCTCCCACCAACCTGCATTTTATAGAGATGCCAGCTGGTACCCAGAGAGGGGAAGTGACTTACCTAAGACCACACAGCAAGCAGCTGTCAAGCAGGGGCTTAGATGAATACTTCGATTTAAATTTGGTATTAATTTAAAAGCTAGTTAACGGAAATATCGTCCTCCCTCCCCCGCTCCTCCTCCTTGCTTCCTCTCTTTCCTCCTTTCTCAGTAGGGCCTTCCCCTCCCCCTCCTCATCTACCCCCCTCCCCTCTCTTTTTCCTCCTCCTCAACCCCCTCCTCTAGAAGCCTGGCTGAGGCTACGCCGGCGCTTGCGCAGCGAGGGGGATACCGCTGTCGAACTAGGGCCGCTTCAGCTCCGCGCGAATGTGTCGGTAACAACTCGGAACGCGACCGAGAACCGGCCCTACAAGACGCGGCATCGAAACCATTGGCCTGATTACCCCTCTGGCGCGTGCTGGGGAAGTTGGGAGAAACGAAGACACCCGGAACTCTTAGGCTGCAGCCCGGTCCGTTTTTTTCTCGTTCCCGCTTCCTGTTATTCTCTCGCCGGAGCAACTGCTTGCGTCACCTCCCGGACTTCCAGAGATAGGACGGTGGGGACACGTCTCCCTAAGCGGGCGACGCTCCTTGGCGCTTCTCGTTCCGCCCGGAGGCGGTAGGCGGGGGGCTCTGCTGCGCCTGCGCCGGGCGGGAGTCACGTTGCGGGGCGGGAGGGGCTCTGCTGGGCTGCTGCGCCGACTCGCAGGCTCGGAGTGTCGGCGTGGCGGTGTCGGTGGTCGGCAGTGCGCATGCGTGGGCACGGCACCGCTCGAATGGTGGTGGGGTCTGGGCGCGGAGCGGGCGGTGTGGGCCGCGGGCAGGACGGCGGAGCCATGCCGGCCTCGGTGGCGTCGGTTATCTCGCGCTTCCTGGAGGAGTACATGAGCACCACGCCGCAGCGCCTGAAGCTCCTGGACGCCTACCTGCTCTACATCCTGCTGACCGGAGCGCTGCAGTTCGGTTACTGCCTCCTCGTGGGGACCTTCCCCTTCAACTCCTTCCTGTCCGGCTTCATCTCCTGCGTGGGAAGCTTCATCCTGGCGGGTAAAGATGACGAGCGGCGACGGCGTGTGGCCCCTTCCTGGGATAGCTGAGGCCGCTCACGCGCCTTTGGGCCTCAGTTTCTCCGTCTGTAAAATGAAGGGTTTGCACTAGACCTGTTTTCTTTGGTTCCCTTCCTGGGTTGCTGGGTAAAGTGAGGCACAGAGAGAGTGAGCGAGCCTTTGGCCTTGGAACTGGACTCAGTGGCTCTTTCTTGAAAGTCCAGTGTCCTTCCTATTAGACCACTTCATTCAGATTCACTTCATTCGTGGCCTGCCCCACTGTTCAGTAAACCCTTTTTCATCCCACTTATTTGGGGCACGCCACTTAAGGCCACTGACTTGGTGAAGTCCTTATTCCTGCAGATAGTTCCTCTTTCTCTGCAATACTCAGATTTCATTCATTCTCCAACAAGTGGTGTACTAAATTCTCTTCAACTCATATTACAACCTGGCCCAGTCTCTGGTTATGCCTTATGGCTGAACTTGGAGGCTGCAAGACTTGAATTCAAATTCAGCCGCAGATATTAGTTCTCTGTCAGTCAGTAAACAATTATTAAGCACCTACTATGTGTCAGCCACTTTGCTGAACACTGGAGATTCAAAAAGAAGTGGAAGACAGCTGCTACCTTCAAGGAGCTTACAGTCCAATGGGGGAGACTACCTGAAAACAAATTAATATATAAATATATACAAAACAAAGTCCATACAGGACAAATAGGAAATAATTAACAGAAGGGAAGACACTGGAATTACAAGGGGTAGGGGAAGACATTTAGAAGGTGAGATTTTTAGCTAGGACTTAAAGGAAGCCAGGAATGGCTCAGTTTCCTTAGTTGTAAAATGGGGATATTAATGGTACCTACCTCCAAGGGATGCTGTAAAGATCAGATGTTAAAGGCGCTTGGCACTTAGTAGGTGTTTATTAAATGCTTATTTCCTTCCTCCCCCAACACTGCCCCACCCCACCAGTAGAGTTCCAATTGAACACGATGTGTGGTCTGTAAATAACTTGCTTAACTTAACTTTTAAACCTAGTACTAGTGATTTTTTTTATGTCTTTTCTTTGAACCTCAGAACCTTGTACTTGACTTTTCATAAACCCATCCCAAGGCATCTTCTTACACCTTTTAAACCATTTTTAATGGCAGCTGTTTGTTTCTGTGTATTTTTTTTACCTTTAAAGTAGAAACTCATTTCTACTTTTTTGTATAGCCCTCACAAGCCCACACACAACTTGTGTGTAGTAGATAGTCAATTAATATATGTTGATTTACTGACTTGATTTGCTTCATGTACTCATAGCTAGAGCTGATAGTTCCAGTGACATCCTGGTTACTCATTTGCTGACACTATACAGGCAAATCCAGAACTCACTTTAAGTTGATTCCAGTTGAGTGATTTGTTTTAGAATTTGAACATAGAACATGAAATCTTAGAGGCAGAAGGGACTTTATTGATAATCTAGTCCTGCCTTATCACTGTTGCTGAGGAAAACAGGCCCAAAGAGAACTTCTGTCATAATCAGTAATAATTTTAATATATAATACTAATATTGTACCCATTATTCATTAATATGTAATGATATAGTGATAATGTAACTACTGTTATATACGTTATTAGTAGAAAATAAGTTGCTTGAGGGCAGGAGCTGTTTTCACTGTTGTCTTTCAGTCCCCAGCACTAAGCATAGTTCCTTTTATATACAATAAATATAGGTGCTTAAATGGTTGCTAATTGTTAATATCACACTCTTGGGGATATGGGACATATAAATTTAAAAGCTACAATAGCTATTCCGGGACTTAGACTCTAACTTCATTAATATGGATACTCTCTCCAGTGATGCTGGTTGCAATTCATCCATAATTTAAGAGGTCTTTGAGAACTTCTATAACTGTCTAGTTTATTATCCTATGGTCACCCTGGTAATGAGTGTTTTGTATTTTAGACAGACTGGACCTTGGACCAGACTCAAGTTTGAGTTTAGAAACATCTGGAATTGAACTTTGCTGTCATAACTGGACAATCCAGCATCACTTCCATGCCACAGTGAGACATTGGAAAAAGATTTTAACTATACATTTTGTTGTACTGGACCTGTGAGTTATTTGTTACAGGGGATGCCCAATGCAGGACTATATGACCAATGTAATTTATAGTCTTAGGGAGTTACCTGAGAAGTTGTCAGTGAGTCCGCAAGCATTTATTAAGCACTTACTTTCTGCCAGCCTTTGTGCTAAGTGCTGAGGATACAAAGAAAAGCAAAAACATCCTCGATCTTAAGGAGCTCACACTTCAGTGGGAGAGACAACATGCAAACAATTATGTACATGACAAGATATATGTGTATATACACATGTAATGTGTACAAATACGATTGTGCATGTGTGCATATGTTGTGTATATGTATTATACACACGTATTAAATTGGAGGAAAAACAGGGAAGTTGCTAGCATTAAGGGGTACTGGAAAGACTTTTTGCAGAATATGAAATTTTAGCTGTGACTTCAGGGGACCCAGGAGATAAGGAAAGCATTGTTTTTTTCTCCCAAATTATGAAGGGCTTAATTCTTCTGCCCCCAAATTGATTATTTTTAATGTTTTTTTTCTTTTAACATTTTGAGTTTTAAATTCTCTCTCTCCCACTCTTCTGTGAAGACAAGCAACATGATATCTATTATATGTAGGAAATTTTGCAAAAACATTTTCATGTTAGCTATGGCTCTGTATCACATATATATACAATATCACATTAAAAAGCAAAAACTGAAAAAATTATGCTTCAGTTTTCACTCAGTTCGTCAGTTTTCTCTGGAGAGGGATAGTACTTTTTTCATCACGAGTCTTTTGGAATTATCTTGAGTCATTTTGTTGATCAGAGTAGCCAAGTCTTTCATGATTGATCATCATTACAACATTACTGTTACTGTACATAGTAATCTTCTCACTTTTCTTTACATCAGTTTGTATGTTTTTGTTCAGTCACGTCCAACTCTTCTTAACCCATTTGGGTTTTTCTTGGCAAAGATACTGGACTGGTTTGCCATTTCCTTCTCTAGCTCATTTTACAGATGAGAAAACTGAGGTAAACAAAGTTAAGTGACTTGCCCAGAGTCACATAACTAGTAAGTGTCTGAGGCCAGATTTGAACTCAGGAAGATGAGTCTTCTTGACTCCAGGCCCAGCACTCTATTTCGCCACATAGCTGCACTATCAGTTCATATAGGTCTTCCCCTATTTTTTTCTGAAACCACCCCCCTCATCATTTTTTATAGCACAGCAATAATACTCCACAAATATGTGCCACAACTTGTTCAGCCATTCTCCAATTGATGAACATCTCTTCAGTTCCCAGTTCTTTGCCACCACAAAAAGAACTGCCATAAATATTTTTGTACAAATAGTTCCTTTTCCTTTTTCTTTGATCTCTGCGATACTGACCTAGTAGCTTTGTTAAAAGGCATGCACAGTTTTATAGCTCTTTTGGCATAGTTCCAAATTCTGCTCCAGAATGGTTGGACCAGTTCACAACTCCACCAATAGTTTTTTTTTTTTTTGTTGGGTGAAGCAATTGGGGTTAAGTGACTTGAGAGTCACACAGTTAGTAAGTGTTATGTGTCAGAGGCTGGATTGAACTCAGGTCCTCTTGACTGTAAGGCCGGAGCTCTATCCACTGCACCACCTAGCTGCCCCAACAGTTTTTTAATGTACTTATTTTCCTCATCTCCTCTAGCATCTGTCATTTCTGATAGGTGTGATGTGGTACCTGAGAGCTGTTTTAATTTGCCTTTCTCTAAATAGTAGTGATTTAGAGCATTTTTTCATGTGACTATAGATAGTTTTGATGATTTCCTTTGAAAATTGCCTGTTTATATCCTTTAACTATTCATCACTTGGGGAATGGCTCTCATTTTTATGAATTTGACTCAGTTCCATATATATTTGAGAAATGAGACCTTTCTCAAGAAAACGTACCATAAAATTTTTTGATATTCATTATTGTCTTTGTGGTATATTTTAGCAAAATGTTGTTTTCCAGCTTATCTGTCTTGATTAGGTCTATTTTTGCTTTTACTTGTCTGAGATCATGATTCCTACTTTTGCCTTTTTACTTCCAATGAAGCATAATAGAGTCTGCTCCAGCCCTTTATTTTAACTTTGTGTTTCAAGTATGTTTCTTACAAACAGCATTGGATTCTGATTTCTAATCTGCTCTGCTGATTCCATTTTATGGGTGGGTTCATCCCATTCACTGTTAAGATTACTGTGTATTTTCCTCTGCTCTGTTTTCTTCTGTTTATTCTTCACTCACTCTCTTTTTATCTTGTCTTTTCTGACCACTACCTCCCTTAAATCTGACCTTCCTTTTATCATTCCTCTCCCTCACTTCCCTAGCCCATGTCTCTTATTCCCTTCCCTTCCTGTTTCTCTATTGGACAAGAGAGATTTCTGTATCCAGGTGAGTGTGTATATATAGTCTTCCCTATTTGAACCAATTTTGATGAGTGAGGTTCAAGTATTGCCCGCCACTCCCCCATTTTTCCCTCCAGTATGAAAGCTCTTCTTTGCCTGCCTCTTATGTGAGGAAATTTTCCCCATTCTGCTTCTCCCTTCCCCCGTTCTTCTCTTTTTCTCAGCCCTTCACTTGATCACTTCACTTGACTCACATCTGTGCGCTCGACCTTCTAACTGCCCTAGTAATGATAAAGTTCTTAGGAGTTATATACATCATTTTCCCATATAGGGATGTAAAGAGTTTAACTTCATTGAGTCCCTTATGGTTTCTCTTTTATGTTTACCTTTTTATGCTTCTCTTGAGTTCTGTGTTTGAATGTCAAATTTTTTCTTCAGTTCTGGTCTTTTTATCAGGAATGTTGGAAAGTCCTCTTTCATTAAATATCCATTTTTTCCCTTGAAAGATTACACTCAGTTTTATTTATTTATTCTTGGTTATAATCTTAGCTCCTTTGTCTTCTGGAATATCATATTCCAAAACCTGT